AGATGTCACCTTAGGGGCGACACAGCTCCTCCCTTGCGAGGGGATGTAAGGAGGACTCTGCATGACAGCAGATGTCACCTTAGGGGCAACACAGCTTTTCCCTTGCGAGGGGATGTAAGGAGGACTTTGCATGACAGCAGATGTCACCTTAGGGGCGACACAGCTCTTCCCTTGGGAGGAGATGTAAGGAGGACTCTGCATGACATCAGATGTCACCTTAGGGGCGACACAGCTTTTCCCTTGCGAGGGGATGTAAGGAGGACTCTGCATGACAGCAGATGTCACCTTAGGGGCGACACAGCTTTTCCCTTGCGAGGGGATGTAAGGAGGACTCTGCATGACAGCAGATGTCACCTTAGAGGCGACACAGCTTTTCCCTTGCTAGGGGATGTAAGGAGGACTCTGTATGACAGAGTGACAGATAAGCTGCTGGAGGGAAGACTCTAAACGTCTAATAACTTCACAGAGATCAGGCAGATCTACTGGGTTCTGCTGTAGCATATCTAAGAATAATTGTCTGGTGCCGGGCGGCCACGCCTTTAGGTGTCGGTCACTCAATAATGTCTCAGTAACAAAATTAAGGGTGAACCCCAAAGAGAAAACATCAGCCTTGGGGTGACATGGGTGACCAGCAAGGATCTCTGGGGCATAAAAGGGAAAATCACTTGGTGATCCAGAGATATTTGTCAACTCTCCCACGGCTGTAGAAAGCCCAAAATCGATGATGTGGGCCGTGAAGCTACCATCGGCTGTGTTCTCTTCTATTAACACATTATCTTCCTTAAAATCGTTATGGACAACGCCCTGACCGTGAATTTCGTCAAGGCTTCGCGCCACGGCGATGTAGATTTGAATAATGTTGGCCGCGGTAAGCAACTTAGGGTGATTGAGTATATCAATGAACGTCCTTCCCTTGCAAAACGACATAACAAGTATGGGCTCATCCGTGGCCCACGTTATGATGAGGGGAGCACCGCCGGCACCGTTTACTTTTTGGGTTATCTCCCTTTCTATGTTGAAATACTTCAGATATTCCGTTTTCAAGCCTTTTTTTATGCACACGAGTTCCCCATTGAATTCGGCCAGGAGGCTGAACGCAAATGCCCCGCTACCCAATTTTTTCTGGATTTTTACAACGCTTAAGAGTTATTTGCTTGTATAACTTTCCATCTTGTTTTAACCAAACGTAAAATTTTATGAAGTACAATTTCAATAACTTTATCGTATAATATACATTATATATTTATATAGTAAGAGGTTATGTGAACATTTAGTACTAGTGTAATGAACATGTAATACAAGTGTAGTGAACATATAGTACTTGTGTAATGAACATGTAATACTAGTGTAGTGAACATATAGTACTTGTGTAATGAACATGTAATACTAGTGTAGTGAACATATAGTACTTGTGTAATGAACATGTAATACTAGTGTATTGAACATATACTACTTGTATAATGAGCATATAGTGCTAGTGTTGTAGTGAACATATAGTACTTGTGCAATGAACATGTAGTACTAGTGTTATAGTGAACATATAGTACTTGTGTAATGAACATGTAATACTAGTGTAGTGAACAAATAGTACTTGTGCAATGAACATGTAGTACTAGTGTTGTAGTGAACATAGAGTACTTGTGTAATGAACATGTAGTACTAGTGTTATAGTGAACATATAGTACCTGTGTAATGAACATGTAATACTAGTGTAGTGAACATATAGTACTAGTCTAATGAACATATAGTGCTAGTTTTATAGTGAAGATATAGTACTTGTGTAATGAACATGTAGACCAGTGTTATAGTGAAGATATAGTACTTGTGTAATGAACATGTAATACTGGTGTAGTGAACATATAATACTAGTGTAATGAATATACAGTCCTAGTGTTGTAGTGAACATATAGTACTAATGTAATGCACATGTAAAACTAGTGTAGTGAACATATAGTACTAGTGTAATGAACATGTAGTACTAGTGTTGTAGTGAACATGTAGTACTAGTGTTGTAGTGAACATGTAGTACTAGTGTAATGAGCATGTAATACTAGTGTTGTAGTGAACATGTATTGCTAGTGTTGTAGTGAACATGTAGTACTAGTGTAATGAACATGTAGTACTAGTATTGTAGTGAACATATCGTGCTAGTGTTCTATTGAACATGTAGTACTAGCGTAATGAGCATGTAATACAAGTGTAGTTGTGAACATGTAGGACTAGTGGTGAAGTGAACATGTAGTACTAGTGTTGTAGTGAACATGTAGTACTAGTGTAATGAACATGTAATACTCGTGTAGTGAACACGTAGTACTAGTGTTATAGTGAGCATGTAGTACTAGTTCTGTAGTGTACATGTAATACCAGTGTTGTAGTCAACATATAGTACTAATGTTGTAGTGAACATGTAGTATTATTGTTTTAGTGAACATATAGAACTAGTGTTGTAGTGAACATGTAGTACTAGTGTTGTAGTGAACATATAGTACTAGTGTTGTAGTGAACATGTAGTACTAGTGTTGTAGTGAACATGTAGTACTAGTGATGTAATGAACATGTAATACCTGTGTTGTAGTGAAGATGTAGTACTAGTGTTGTAGTGAACATGTAGTACTAGTGTAATGAACATGTAAATACTAGTGTTGTATTGAACATGTAGTCCTAGTGTTGTAGTGAACATGTAGTACTAGTTCTGTAGTGTACATGTAATACCAGTGTTGTAGTCAACATATAGTACTAATGTTGTAGTGAACATGTAGTATTATTGTTTTAGTGAACATATAGAACTAGTGTTGTAGTGAACATGTAGTACTAGTGTTGTAGTGAACATATAGTACTAGTGTTGTAGTGAACATGTAGTACTAGTGTTGTAGTGAACATGTAGTACTAGTGATGTAATGAACATGTAATACCTGTGTTGTAGTGAAGATGTAGTACTCGTGTTGTAGTGAACATGTAATACCAATGTTGTAATGAACATGTAGTACTAGTGTTTTAGTGAGCATGTAGTACAAGTGTTGTATTGAACATGTAATACTAGTGTTGTAGTGAACATGTAGTACTAGTGTTGTAGTGAACATGTAGTACTAGTGTAATGAGCATGTAATACTAGTGTTGTAGTGAACATGTATTGCTAGTGTTGTAGTGAACATGTAGTACTAGTGTAATGAACATGTAGTACTAGTATTGTAGTGAACATATCATGCTAGTGTTCTATTGAACATGTAGTACTAGCGTAATGAGCCTGTAATACAAGTGTAGTTGTGAACATGTAGTACTAGTGGTGTAGTGAACATGTAGTACTAGTGTTGTAGTGAACATGTAGTACTAGTGTAATGAACATGTAATACTCGTGTAGTGAACATGTAGTACTAGTGTTTTAGTGAGCATGTAGTACTAGTGTTGTATTGAACATGTAAATACTAGAGTTGTATTGAACATGTAGTCCTAGTGTTGTAGTGAACATGTAGTACTAGTTCTGTAGTGTGCATGTAATACCAGTATTGTAGTCAACATGTAGTACTAATGTTGTAGTGAACATGTAGTATTATTGTTTTAGTGAACATATAGAACTAGTGTTGTAGTGAACATGTAGTACTAGTGTTGTAGTGAACATGTAGTACTAGTGTTGTAGTGAACATGTAGTACTAGTGTTGTAGTGAACATGTAGTACTAGTGATGTAATAAACATGTAATACCTGTGTTGTAGTGAAGATGTAGTACTCGTGTTGTAGTGAACATGTAATACCAATGTTGTAATGAACATGTAGTACTAGTGTTTTAGTGAGCATGTAGTACAAGTGTTGTATTGAACATGTAATACTAGTGTTGTAGTGAACATGTAATACCAGTGTTGTAGTGAACATGTAGAACTAGTGTTGTAGTGAACATGTAATACCAGTGCTGTAGTGAACACGTAGTACTAGTGTTGTAGTGAGCATGTAGTACTAGTGTTGTAGTGAATACGTAGTACCAGTGTTGTAGTGAACATGTAGGACTAGTGTTGTAGTGAATACGTAGTGCCAGTGTTGTAGTTAACAGGTAGTACTAGTGTTGTATTGAGCATGTAGTACTAGTGTTCTACTGAACATGTAGTACTAGTGTTGTAGTGAGCATGCAGTACTAGTGTTCTAGTGAACATGTGGTACTAGTGTTGTAGTGAACATGTAGTGCTAGTGTTGTAGTGAACATGTAGTACTAGTGTTGTAGTGAACATGTAATACCAGTGTTGTAGTGAACATGTAGTACTAATGTTGTGGTGAACATATAATACCAGTGTTGTAGTGAACATGTAGTACTAGTGTTGTAGTGAACATGTAGTACTAGTGTTGTAGTAAGCATGTAGGACCGGTGTTGCAGTGAACATGAAGTACTAGTGTTGTAGTGAACATGTAGTACTAGTGTTGTGGTGAACATATAATACCAGTGTTGTAGTGAACATTTAGTACTAGTGTTGTAGTGAACATGTAGTACTAGTGTTGTAGTAAGCACGTAGGACCGGTGTTGCAGTGAACATGAAGTACTAGTGTTGTAGTGAACATGTAGTACTAGTGCTGTATTGAACATGTAGTACTAGTGTTGCAGTGAACATGTAGTACTAGTGTTGTAGTGAACATGTATTACTAGTGTTGTAGTGAACATGGAATACCAGTGTTGTAGTTAACATGTAGTACTAGTGTTGTAGTGAACATGGTCATAAAAGTTAACATTTCTTGTATAACATATCGTTAAGGTTCAGTTAAAGATAATGTTGTGTTCCCTGCAGGACCCAGAGAACATGTGGGCCTACGAGGTAGACGCCAGGTCGACAGGGGACAAAAAGTCTGCCCGGGAGGAGCGTCGAGGAGACGTAGTGGTGGGCCAGTACAGCGCCATGGACCCTGATGGTTCTCTCTGCGTCGTCGACTACTCTGTAGCTCCCGACACTGACTTCCAGGCCACTGTTACCAAGCAATCCACCCATGAAAACTTCCAGAGCCAAAGCCAATAGCACCAGCAAAGGCGCAACCAGTTCCAGAATCAACAGACCCGCCGCGACCAGTTCCAGAACCAACAGAACAGCCGCAACCAGTTTCAGAACCAACAGACCCGCCGCAACCAGTTGCTGAACCAACAGAGCCGCCCCGACCAGTTCCAGAAACAACAGAACCGCCCCGACCAGTTCCAGAACCAACAGAGCCACCAGGCCAGTTCCAGAACCAACTGTCTACCCGCGACCCATTCCAGAACCAACTGTCTACTCGCGACCAGTTCCAGAACCAACAAAGCCGCCCCGACCAGTTCCAGAGCCAACAGAGCCGCCCCGACCAGTTCCAGAACCAACTGTCTACTAGCGACCAGTTCCAGAACCAACAAAGCCGCCGCGACCAGTTCCAGAACCAACAAAGCCGCCCCGACCAGTTCCAGAGCCAACAGAACCGCCCCGACCAGTTCCAGAACCAACTGTCTACCCGCGACCAGTTCCAAAACCAACAAAGCCGCGGCGACCAGTTCCAGAACCAACAGAACCTCCCCCACCAGTTCCAAAACCAACTGTCTACCCGCAACCAGTTCCAGAATCAAGTGAACCGAGATCAATCTTCTCTGAATATTAGACAGTAGTCACAGAGAGACAACCAGTATCAACAGAAACGCAACCAGTATCAACAAGACCACAACCAGTATCAACACAACCGTAACCAGTACCAGCTGAATCATTACCAACAGAACCGCAACTAGTACCAGGAGAACCGCAACCAGTACCAGTCCAACTATCGCACGAGTACCAACCAATACAACCACAACAACCAGTCCAACAACCTCCACAACAACAGGTACATCTCACAAAGTTACGGCTCCACCAACAACAACCACAACTACAACCAAAACTCACACCTCAACTCCAACCTTTTCAACCTGGAATACAACCAACAACCCTCCCGGTTATCCACCAACAACCACAACCAGTACGGAAGGAGCCAAGTTAGTGTGGTTCCTGCTGGAAATCACAAGTATCGACTACAACAAATGAACCACTGGCAACACTAAATGGTTGTGAGAATGTCTTTACTCTGTATAAACTGTCAATATAATACTATGGTACTGTATTTTTATGTATTTCTCGCTAAACAAAGCAGAATGTATTAATGTTTTTTATCTGATTGACGCTATTGTATGTTTCTGTTGTGTTAATGAATGATGTTAAAGTGTTGGTGAGAGTAAACACTAATATGCAGAATAGGTCAAGTGTTGGTGAAAGTAAACACTAATATACAGAGTACGTCAAGTGTTGCTGAGAGTAAACACTAATATACAGTATACGTCAAGTGTTGGTGAAAATAAACACTAATATACAGTATACGTCAAATGTTGGTGACAGTAAACACTAATATACAGTATACGTCAAATGTTGGTGACAGTAAACACTAATATACAGTATACGTCAAGTGTTGGTGAGAGTAAACACTAATATACAGTATACGTCAAGTGTTGGTGAGAGTAAACACTAATATACAGTATAGGTCAAGGCATGGTGATATTGGGGACTAGATGGGGTGTATACTTGACTGTTTTTGTAATAGATATGATACCGGTACACATACAGGTTCACATACCGGTACACATACAGGTACACATACAGGTACACATACCGGTACACATATAGGTACACATACAGGTACACATACAGGTACACATACCGGTACACATACAGGTGCACATACATGTACACATATAGGTACACATACCGGTACACATAGAGAGACTTAGGTAACGTAGTACCGAGGTAGATTTATGTGTGTGTGTGTGTGTGTGTGTGTGTATGTGTGTGTGATATTAGCTGGTCTTTGCTATCACAACAGTTACGGCTGGAGATGACGGAATTGAAAACATATCTTATCCCGATTCATGATAGCATGTAGATGTGTGTGTGTGTGTGTGTGTGTGTGTGTATCTTTCAACTGTACCTGTATCTATCTCTTAACTGTATCTGTCTCTCAACTATACCTGTATCTGTCTCTTAACTCTATCTGTATCTGTCTCTTAACTGTACCTGCATCTGTCTCTTAACTGTACGTGTATCTGTCTCTTAACTGTACCTGTATCTGTCTCTTAACTCTACCTGTATCTGTCTCTCAATTCTACCTGTATCTGTCTCTAAACTGAACCTGTATCTGTCTCTTAACTCTACCTGTATCTGTCTCTCAACGGTACCTGTATCTGTCTATTAACTCTACCTGCATCAGTCTCTTAACTGTACCTGTATCTGTCTCTTAACTGTACCTGTATCTGTCTCTTAACTGTACCTGTATCTGTCTCTTAACTGTACCTGTATCTGTCTCTTAACTGTACCTGTATCTGTCTCTTAGCTGTACCTGCATCTGTCTCTTAACTGTACCTGTATCTGTCTCTTAACTGTACCTGTATCTGTCTCTTAACTGTACCTGTATCTGTCTCTTAACTGTACCTGTATCACTACCCTTATGTATTACTTGTACCAATACCTATAGTTACTATATATGCTGATCTACCTATATAACCTAATTCATTTGTCCATCTATTTATATATCTATCTACTTTATTAGGCTTTATATAAGGATTAACACAAACAAACAAAAAACGACATTTTATCACATTATTTAAAAAAAAACATACAAAATCTTCTTTTTTTTCAATAATATTCATCGGGGGAGAAGATGAGATCAGACCCCTTGAGATAAGCCGTCCCTAACCGTAGTCCTGACACTACGATGAATTTTATTACATTAGACAAAATGCTGGTCGATTGTGCCGTCCCTTCCGATCCCTCGCAAGGAGGACTCTGCGTGACAGCAGATTTCACCTTTGGGGCGACACAGCTCCTCCCTTGCGAGGGGATGTAAGGAGGACTCTGCATGACAGCAGATGTCACCTTAGGGGCGACACAGCTCTTCCCTTGGGAGGGGATGTAAGGAGGACTCTGCATGAAAGCAGATGTCACCTTAGGGGCGATACAGCTTTTCCCTTGCGAGGGGATGTAAGGAGGACTCTGCATGACAGCAGATGTCACCTTAGGGGCGACACAGCTCTTCCCTTGGGAGGGGATGTAAGGAGGACTCTGCATGACAGCAGATGTCACCTTAGGGGCGACACAGCTTTTCCCTTGCGAGGAGATGTAAGGAGGACTCTGCATGACAGAAGATGTCACCTTAGGGGCGACACAGCTCTTCCCTTGCGAGGGGATGTAAGGAGGACTCTGCATGACAGCAGATGTCACCTTAGGGGCGACACAGCTCTTCCCTTGGGAGGGGATGTAAGGAGGACTCTGCATGACAGCAGATGTCACCTTAGGGGCGACACAGCTTTTCCCTTGCGAGGGGATGTAAGGAGGACTCTGCATGACAGCAGATGTCACCTTAGGGGCGACACAGCTTTTCCCTTGCGAGGGGATGTAAGGAGGACTCTGCATGACAGTCTTCCTTTCAGGGACAGCTGGGAAAGAAAGCTGCTGGAGGGAAGACTCTAAACGTCTAATAACTTCACAGAGATCAGGCCGATCTACTGGGTTCTGCTGTAGCATATCTAAGAATAATTGTCTGGTGCCGGGCGGCCACGCCTTTAGGTGTCGGTCACTCAATAATGTCTCAGTAACAAAATTAAGGGTGAACCCCAAAGAGAAAACATCAGCCTTGGGGTGACATGGGTGACCAGCAAGGATCTCTGGGGCATAAAAGGGAAAATCACTTGGTGATCCAGAGATATTTGTCAACTCTCCCACGGCTGTAGAAAGCCCAAAATCGATGATGTGGGCCGTGAAGATACCATCGGCTGTGTTCTCTTCTATTAACACATTATCTTCCTTAAAATCGTTATGGACAACGCCCTGACCGTGAATTTCGTCAAGGCTTCGCGCCACGGCGATGTAGATTTGAATAATGTTGGCCGCGGTAAGCAACTTAGGGTGATTGAGTATATCAATGAACGTCCTTCCCTTGCAAAACGACAGAGGATGGGGCAAACGAGTTCTCATTGAACTCCCACGGGAGGCCGAACCAAATGCCACCAATCTTGGATGGATAAACGCTTAAGAGTTATTTGCTTGTATAACTTTCCATCTTGTTTTAACCAAACGTAAAATTTTATGAAGTACAATTTCAATAACTTTATCGTATAATATACATTATATATTTATATAGTAAGAGGTTATGTGAACATTTAGTACTAGTGTAATGAACATGTAATACAAGTGTAGTGAACATATAGTACTTGTGTAATGAACATGTAATACTAGTGTAGTGAACATATAGTACTTGTGTAATGAACATGTAATACTAGTGTAGTGAACATATAGTACTTGTGTAATGAACATGTAATACTAGTGTATTGAACATATACTACTTGTATAATGAGCATATAGTGCTAGTGTTGTAGTGAACATATAGTACTTGTGCAATGAACATGTAGTACTAGTGTTATAGTGAACATATAGTACTTGTGTAATGAACATGTAATACTAGTGTAGTGAACAAATAGTACTTGTGCAATGAACATGTAGTACTAGTGTTGTAGTGAAATTAGAGTACTTGTGTAATGAACATGTAGTACTAGTGTTATAGTGAACATATAGTACCTGTGTAATGAACATGTAATACTAGTGTAGTGAACATATAGTACTAGTCTAATGAACATATAGTGCTAGTTTTATAGTGAAGATATAGTACTTGTGTAATGAACATGTAGACCAGTGTTATAGTGAAGATATAGTACTTGTGTAATGAACATGTAATACTGGTGTAGTGAACATATAATACTAGTGTAATGAATATACAGTCCTAGTGTTGTAGTGAACATATAGTACTAATGTAATGCACATGTAAAACTAGTGTAGTGAACATATAGTACTAGTGTAATGAACATGTAGTACTAGTGTTGTAGTGAACATGTAGTACTAGTGTTGTAGTGAACATGTAGTACTAGTGTAATGAGCATGTAATACTAGTGTTGTAGTGAACATGTATTGCTAGTGTTGTAGTGAACATGTAGTACTAGTGTAATGAACATGTAGTACTAGTATTGTAGTGAACATATCGTGCTAGTGTTCTATTGAACATGTAGTACTAGCGTAATGAGCATGTAATACAAGTGTAGTTGTGAACATGTAGGACTAGTGGTGAAGTGAAAATGTAGTACTAGTGTTGTAGTGAACATGTAGTACTAGTGTAATGAACATGTAATACTCGTGTAGTGAACACGTAGTACTAGTGTTATAGTGAGCATGTAGTACTAGTTCTGTAGTGTACATGTAATACCAGTGTTGTAGTCAACATATAGTACTAATGTTGTAGTGAACATGTAGTATTATTGTTTTAGTGAACATATAGAACTAGTGTTGTAGTGAACATGTAGTACTAGTGTTGTAGTGAACATATAGTACTAGTGTTGTAGTGAACATGTAGTACTAGTGATGTAATGAACATGTAATACCTGTGTTGTAGTGAAGATGTAGTACTAGTGTTGTAGTGAACATGTAGTACTAGTGTAATGAACATGTAAATACTAGTGTTGTATTGGATATGTAGTCCTAGTGTTGTAGTGAACATGTAGTACTAGTTCTGTAGTGTACATGTAATACCAGTGTTGTAGTCAACATATAGTACTAATGTTGTAGTGAACATGTAGTATTATTGTTTTAGTGAACATATAGAACTAGTGTTGAAGTGAACATGTAGTACTAGTGTTGTAGTGAACATATAGTACTAGTGTTGTAGTGAACATGTAGTACTAGTGTTGTAGTGAACATGTAGTACTAGTGATGTAATGAACATGTAATACCTGTGTTGTAGTGAAGATGTAGTACTCGTGTTGTAGTGAACATGTAATACCAATGTTGTAATGAACATGTAGTACTAGTGTTTTAGTGAGCATGTAGTACAAGTGTTGTATTGAACATGTAATACTAGTGTTGTAGTGAACATGTAGTACTAGTGTTGTAGTGAACATGTAGTACTAGTGTAATGAGCATGTAATACTAGTGTTGTAGTGAATATGTATTGCTAGTGTTGTAGTGAAAATGTAGTACTAGTGTAATGAACATGTAGTACTAGTATTGTAGTGAACATATCATGCTAGTGTTCTATTGAACATGTAGTACTAGCGTAATGAGCCTGTAATACAAGTGTAGTTGTGAACATGTAGTACTAGTGGTGTAGTGAACATGTAGTACTAGTGTTGTAGTGAACATGTAGTACTAGTGTAATGAACATGTAATACTCGTGTAGTGAACATATAGTACTAGTGTTTTAGTGAGCATGTAGTACTAGTGTTGTATTGAACATGTAAATACTAGAGTTGTATTGAACATGTAGTCCTAGTGTTGTAGTGAACATGTAGTACTAGTTCTGTAGTGTGCATGTAATACCAGTATTGTAGTCAACATGTAGTACTAATGTTGTAGTGAACATGTAGTATTATTGTTTTAGTGAACATATAGAACTAGTGTTGTAGTGAACATGTAGTACTAGTGTTGTAGTGAACATGTAGAACTAGTGTTGTAGTGAACATGTAGTACTAGTGTTGTAGTGAACATGTAGTACTAGTGATGTAATAAACATGTAATACCTGTGTTGTAGTGAAGATGTAGTACTCGTGTTGTAGTGAACATGTAATACCAATGTTGTAATGAACATGTAGTACTAGTGTTTTAGTGAGCATGTAGTACAAGTGTTGTATTGAACATGTAATACTAGTGTTGTAGTGAACATGTAATACCAGTGTTGTAGTGAACATGTAGAACTAGTGTTGTAGTGAACATGTAATACCAGTGCTGTAGTGAACACGTAGTACTAGTGTTGTAGTGAGCATGTAGTACTAGTGTTGTAGCGAATACGTAGTACCAGTGTTGTAGTGAACATGTAGGACTAGTGTTGTAGTGAATACGTAGTGCCAGTGTTGTAGTTAACAGGTAGTACTAGTGTTGTATTGAGCATGTAGTACTAGTGTTCTACTGAACATGTAGTACTAGTGTTGTAGTGAGCATGCAGTACTAGTGTTCTAGTGAACATGTGGTACTAGTGTTGTAGTGAACATGTAGTGCTAGTGTTGTAGTGAACATGTAGTACTAGTGTTGTAGTGAACATGTAATACCAGTGTTGTATTGAACATGTAGTACTAATGTTGTGGTGAACATATAATACCAGTGTTGTAGTGAACATGTAGTACTAGTGTTGTAGTGAACATGTAGTACTAGTGTTGTAGTAAGCATGTAGGACCGGTGTTGCAGTGAACATGAAGTACTAGTGTTGTAGTGAACATGTAGTACTAGTGTTGTGGTGAACATATAATACCAGTGTTGTAGTGAACATTTAGTACTAGTGTTGTAGTGAACATGTAGTACTAGTGTTTTAGTAAGCACGTAGGACCGGTGTTGCAGTGAACATGAAGTACTAGTGTTGTAGTGAACATGTAGTACTAGTGCTGTATTGAACATGTAGTACTAGTGTTGTAGTGAACATGTAGTACTAGTGTTGTAGTGAACATGTATTACTAGTGTTGTAGTGAACATGGAATACCAGTGTTGTAGTTAACATGTAGTACTAGTGTTGTAGTGAACATGGTCATAAAAGTTAAGGTTCAGTTAAAGATAATGTTGTGTTCCCTGCAGGACCCAGAGAACATGTGGGCCTACGAGGTAGACGCCAGGTCGACAGGGGACAAAAAGTCTGCCCGGGAGGAGCGTCGAGGAGACGTAGTGGTGGGTCAGTACAGCGCCATGGACCCTGATGGTTCTCTCTGCGTCGTCGACTACTCTGTCGCTCCCGACACTGACTTCCAGGCCACTGTTACCAAGCAATCCACCCATGAAAACTTCCAGAGCCAAAGCCAATAGCACCAGCAAAGGCGCAACCAGTCCCAGAATCAACAGACCCGCCGCGACCAGTTCCAGAACCAACAGAACAGCCGCAACCAGTTTCAGAACCAACAGACCCGCCGCAACCAGTTGCTGAACCAACAGAGCCGCCCCGACCAGTTCCAGAAACAACAGAACCGCCCCGACCAGTTCCAGAACCAACAGAGCCACCAGGCCAGTTCCAGAACCAACTGTCTACCCGCGACCCATTCCAGAACCAACTGTCTACTCGCGACCAGTTCCAGAACCAACAAAGCCGCCCCGACCAGTTCCAGAGCCAACAGAGCCGCCCCGACCAGTTCCAGAACCAACTGTCTACTAGCGACCAGTTCCAGAACCAACAAAGCCGCCGCGACCAGTTCCAGAACCAACAAAGCCGCCCCGACCAGTTCCAGAGCCAACAGAACCGCCCCGACCAGTTCCAGAACCAACTGTCTACCCGCGACCAGTTCCAAAACCAACAAAGCCGCGGCGACCAGTTCCAGAACCAACAGAACCTCCCCCACCAGTTCCAAAACCAACTGTCTACCCGCAACCAGTTCCAGAATCAAGTGAACCGAGATCAATCTTCTCTGAATATTAGACAGTAGTCACAGAGAGACAACCAGTATCAACAGAAACGCAACCAGTATCAACAAGACCACAACCAGTATCAACACAACCGTAACCAGTACCAGCTGAATCATTACCAACAGAACCGCAACTAGTACCAGGAGAACCGCAACCAGTACCAGTCCAACTATCGCACGAGTACCAACCAATACAACCACAACAACCAGTCCAACAACCTCCACAACAACAGGTACATCTCACAAAGTTACGGCTCCACCAACAACAACCACAACTACAACCAAAACTCACACCTCAACTCCAACCTTTTCAACCTGGAATACAACCAACAACCCTCCCGGTTATCCACCAACAACCACAACCAGTACGGAAGGAGCCAAGTTAGTGTGGTTCCTGCTGGAAATCACAAGTATCGACTACAACAAATGAACCACTGGCAACACTAAATGGTTGTGAGAATGTCTTTACTCTGTATATACTGTCAATATAATACTATGGTACTGTATTTTTATGTATTTCTCGCTAAACAAAGCAGAATGTATTAATGTTTTTTATCTGATTGACGCTATTGTATGTTTCTGTTGTGTTAATGAATGATGTTAAAGTGTTGGAGAGAGTAAACACTAATATGCAGAATAGGTCAAGTGTTGGTGAAAGTAAACACTAATATACAGAGTACGTCAAGTGTTGCTGAGAGTAAACACTAATATACAGTATACGTCAAGTGTTGGTGAAAATAAACACTAATATACAGTATACGTCAAATGTTGGTGACAGTAAACACTAATATACAGTATACGTCAAATGTTGGTGACAGTAAACACTAATATACAGTATACGTCAAGTGTTGGTGAGAGTAAACACTAATATACAGTATACGTCAAGTGTTGGTGAGAGTAAACACTAATATACAGTATAGGTCAAGGCATGGTGATATTGGGGACTAGATGGGGTGTATACTTGACTACTTTAGTAATAGATATGATACCGGTACACATACAGGTTCACATACCGGTACACATACAGGTACACATACAGGTACACATACCGGTACACATATAGGTACACATACAGGTACACATACAGGTACACATACCGGTACACATACAGGTGCACATACATGTACACATATAGGTACACATACCGGTACACATAGAGAGACTTAGGTAACGTAGTACCGAGGTAGATTTGTGTGTGTGTGTGTGTGTGTGTGTGTGTATGTGTGTGTGATATTAGCTGGTCTTTGCTATCACAACAGTTACGGCTGGAGATGACGGAATTGAAAACATATCTTATCCCGATTCATGATAGCATGTAGATGTGTGTGTGTGTGTGTGTGTGTGTGTGTATCTTTCAACTGTACCTGTATCTATCTCTTAACTGTATCTGTCTCTCAACTATACCTGTATCTGTCTCTTAACTCTATCTGTATCTGTCTCTTAACTGTACCTGCATCTGTCTCTTAACTGTACGTGTATCTGTCTCTTAACTGTACCTGTATCTGTCTCTTAACTCTACCTGTATCTGTCTCTCAATTCTACCTGTATCTGTCTCTAAACTGAACCTGTATCTGTCTCTTAACTCTACCTGTATCTGTCTCTCAACGGTACCTGTATCTGTCTATTAACTCTACCTGCATCAGTCTCTTAACTGTACCTGTATCTGTCTCTTAACTGTACCTGTATCTGTCTCTTAACTGTACCTGTATCTGTCTCTTAACTGTACCTGTATCTGTCTCTCAACTGTACCTGTATCTGTCTCTTAACTGTACCTGTATCTGTCTCTTCACTGTACCTGTATCTGTCTCTTAACTGTACCTGTATCACTACCCTTATGTATTACTTGTACCAATACCTATAGTTACTATATATGCTGATCTACCTATATAACCTAATTCATTTGTCCATCTATTTATATATCTATCTACTTTATTAGGCTTTATATAAGGATTAACACAAACAAACAAAAAACGACATTTATCACATTATTTAAAAAAAAACATACAAAATCTTCTTTTTTTTTCAATAATATTCATCGGGGGAGAAGATGAGATCAGACCCCTTGAGATAAGCCGTCCCAAACCGTAGTCCTGACACTACGATGAATTTTATTACATTAGACAAAATGCTGGTCGATTGTGCCGTCCCTTCCGATCCCTCGCAAGGAGGACTCTGCGTGACAGCAGATTTCACCTTTGGGGCGACACAGCTCCTCCCTTGCGAGGGGATGTAAGGAGGACTCTGCATGACAGCAGATGTCACCTTAGGGGCGACACAGCTCTTCCCTTGGGAGGGGATGTAAGGAGGACTCTGCATGAAAGCAGATGTCACCTTAGGGGCGATACAGCTTTTCCCTTGCGAGGGGATGTAAGGAGGACTCTGCATGACAGCAGATGTCACCTTAGGGGCGACACAGCTCTTCCCTTGGGAGGGGATGTAAGGAGGACTCTGCATGACAGCAGATGTCACCTTAGGGGCGACACAGCTTTTCCCTTGCGAGGAGATGTAAGGAGGACTCTGCATGACAGAAGATGTCACCTTAGGGGCGACACAGCTCTTCCCTTGCGAGGGGATGTAAGGAGGACTCTGCATGACAGCAGATGTCACCTTAGGGGCGACACAGCTCTTCCCTTAGGAGGGGATGTAAGGAGGACTCTGCATGACAGCAGATGTCACCTTAGGGGCGACACAGCTTTTCCCTTGCGAGGGGATGTAAGGAGGACTCTGCATGACAGCAGATGTCACCTTAGGGGCGACACAGCTTTTCCCTTGCGAGGGGATGTAAGGAGGATTCTGCATGACAGTCTTCCTTTCAGTGACAGTTGGGAAAGAAAGCTGCTGGAGGGAAGACTCTAAACGTCTAATAACTTCACAGAGATCAGGCCGATCTACTGGGTTCTGCTGTAGCATATCTAAGAATAATTGTCTGGTGCCGGGCGGCCACGCCTTTAGGTGTCGGTCACTCAATAATGTCTCAGTAACAAAATTAAGGGTGAACCCCAAAGAGAAAACATCAGCCTTGGGGTGACATGGGTGACCAGCAAGGATCTCTGGGGCATAAAAGGGAAAATCACTTGGTGATCCAGAGATATTTGTCAACTCTCCCACGGATGTAGAAAGCCCAAAATCGATGATGTGGGCCGTGAAGCTACCATCGGCTGTGTTCTCTTCTATTAACACATTATCTTCCTTAAAATCGTTATGGACAACGCCCTGACCGTGAATTTCGTCAAGGCTTCGCGCCACGGCGATGTAGATTTGAATAATGTTGGCCGCGGTAAGCAACTTAGGGTGATTGAGTATATCAATGAACGTCCTTCCCTTGCAAAACGACATAACAAGTATGGGCTCATCCGTGGCCCACGTTATGATGAGGGGAGCACCGCCGGCACCGTTTACTTTTTGGGTTATCTCCCTTTCTATGTTGAAATACTTCAGATATTCCGTTTTCAAGCCTTTTTTTATGCACACGAGTTCCCCATTGAATTCGGCCAGGAGGCTGAACGCAAATGCCCCGCTACCCAATTTTTTCTGGATTTTTACAACGCTTAAGAGTTATTTGCTTGTATAACTTTCCATCTTGTTTTAACCAAACGTAAAATTTTATGAAGTACAATTTCAATAACTTTATCGTATAATATACATTATATATTTATATAGTAAGAGGTTATGTGAACATTTAGTACTAGTGTAATGAACATGTAATACAAGTGTAGTGAACATATAGTACTTGTGTAATGAACATGTAATACTAGTGTAGTGAACATATAGTACTTGTGTAATGAACATGTAATACTAGTGTAGTGAACATATAGTACTTGTGTAATGAACATGTAATACTAGTGTATTGAACATATACTACTTGTATAATGAGCATATAGTGCTAGTGTTGTAGTGAACATATAGTACTTGTGCAATGAACATGTAGTACTAGTGTTATAGTGAACATATAGTACTTGTGTAATGAA